ATTTGAGGATCATTAAGAGTACTCTTACTTGTTTTTTAATGAAAAACGTAATCACAACCATCACATGAGTAAAAGGGTTTTTTTTTTTTTTTTTTATTCTTTTAGCACTTAAAAGTAATAGAACCAAACTATAAAATCAGATACAAAATAGACGCATACCATCCGTGATGAGCTCATATCATATGGGATACGCCTAGTTTGTCCCCAGTCAGAATAGGACAATATATATGCTCACCGGTTGCTCATAAAAAGAAGTATACTTTTTAATTGTTCAATGCTGATCGTAGATTTCGTAGGACTAAAAATACATGGTTTTATTGCCCGTGAACTTAAGAAACATAACTAATTTAGAATGTATTATTAGTTGACAATGTTAGATTATTGATGACATGATATTATTTTATTTATTTGTTTTTATTTAGTAGGACACTTGCCTTAATTTATTTAATGAAAATATGATTGCTATTAATAATCTTATTAGTCATAAAATTTTATGTAAAAATTTAATATAACAAATAAATGTCAATTGCACTTAACTCTAAAGGCCCAATGACACTAACCATTGAAAAATGCATTTCTCCCTCTTTTGGGTGGGGTTCGAATCCATCCCATGTCAAAAAGTTAAAAAAAAAAAAACAAATAAATGTCAATTAAAATTTTTTATTTTTTAATAATACAAGAATAATTTTCTTAATAAAAGTCAACAAAACTCTGTCAATTTATATATTTTTTATTTTTAGAGAACAAAGTGACCCTAAATAAAACCTATTTAACTTGCCTAATCCACACGAAATGGTGGATATTTTTACCTTAGACTTTCCTTTTATTTCATGCGGAGCACGAGTTATTATCAATAATTTTATTAATTAAAAATTTTTAAGTAAGAATTTAATATAATAAATGAAGGTCAATTTAATTTTTTTTAGTTCTTATACTAAAAACACTATTTTTCTCTTTATTTTGTTATAATATTAAAGTATAAAAATAATAAAGATTTTTTTTTATTATGTGCCTTTAAAATAGAGGATTAAAGTGCAATAGATGCATCTTTTCATAATTAATCTTTATTAAAAATATAAATGTTAACTTTAATTTAATCAATTAATCAATTACAATTATCTATATTTCAATGATATTAAAATATATGTTAATTTTTATAATTTTTAATATAAATTAATTATAAAAAGATACATTTATTGTATCTTTAGGTTAGATAAATTCAAATAATAAAATAATCATGTATAAAGGAATAATTTGGGAAAAAGATTATCCCAAGTTCCGAAACCAAACAGGCCCTAATTGGGTGGGATCTAGGAAAGTGGACATATCAACTCATAAGCTTCCACGTGTCAACTTCTGAACGGTTTCTTTAGGGCCAACCCCACTCAGAACACAAACAGAGAAGGGAACTATGTATTACCGTTATGACAATGCGAATGCGGGAAACTCTGTTCTTCTCAAAAATAATAATAAAAAAAAAAAGGAAAGAAAGAAAAAATAAAAAAAGAGAAAAGAATAATCCAGGCCATCTCGGATCCAATCTCGAGTAACTTCGATTCTTTTCCCAGGCGATAGCGTCATCATTGCCGGCAGATCGTCGCCGTCGATTTCAATCCTCAGGGGGACAAACTCAGAGCCAGCTCTATATGGACGCTAGGCCGCTGATTGGCACCACTACGAACAACCACCACCAGCGCCGTCGCCGAGTGGCTGGAAAGTCGTCGCAGCAGCCTAAGCGTCAGCAGTCGTTCAGCCGAGCCGCGGCAGAGACCTATCTCGTAACTCGCCTCAGCTTCACGCTTCTCCGATATCTCGGGTACAATTGCCCCCCGTAACTTGGACTTCATATTCTTCTCCGTTTTGGCTATTTAAGTTGTATAATTGTATCCTTTTTATGTCAGAATTTATAGAAAAGATTTAATCTTTTTTTTTTTTTTAATATCTTTCTTGATTTTGTTCATTATCTAAGCTCAGCTTGATTGCCGAGAAAATTGAGGTAAAGAAAGGAAGAAAGAAAATTTTAATATCTACTAAATGTATATTTTGATTCAGGGTAGGCTACCGTTGGATCACAAGATTAGTTGCTCTTGCCTGTTATGCTTTGTTTTTAATGCCCGGCTTTCTTCAAGGTATTTGCTTTATTATTAATATGATTACTTAAAGGGCTGTTGTTAGTAATTAATTGATTATTTCTGGTTTCTTTTTTGGTACATATTTCTGGTTTCTTTTTATTTTCTTCTCGGTTACTTTAAATTGTCATTAGATGGATTGAATTGAAACATGTTGTATTCTGCAGTTGCTTATCATTATTTTTTCTCAAGGCAAGTTCATCGCAGTATTGTGTATGGGGATCAACCAAGGAACAGGTATGTCGTGTGGAACACCTTAGTTATATTCTTCCTAGTATTTAATATTTATAATGTTGCTCGTGCATTGGATTAGTTCTAATTGCTAATTTTTCTGGTTTAAATGACAAACTACAGATTGGATCTATATTTACCAACAAACCGTGATGGGCCAAAGCCAGTTGTGGTGTTTGTAACTGGTGGAGCCTGGATCATAGGGTGAGCAAAGTGAGCTAGTTTTGTGTATTATTAAAAATTTACCATTAAAACTGCTATACTCAAAAGGTTACCCTTGGTTTCATAATTCTTGCTGTGGAATAAAAGATGATTGACCAATGCCTAACTAAAAAAGTCCTTCCATCATTTGTTAATAGTAAAATTTCTTTTTGAACAGATGAAATTGTTTTATTGTTTGATGCTAAGTTTCTGAGATTTTCTGCTGTTCTAGGTATAAAGCATGGGGTTCCCTTCTGGGATTACAATTGGCAGAAAGAGATATCATTGTCGCATGCCTTGATTACAGGTAATTGGGTCTAGTTGATTCAGGAATATGTTGTTGAGTTCACATTACTAAGCTGTCCTATTTGTGAGTAAAATCCCATGGGGCTCAAGTCAACTTGTACTGGTAACCTTGTTCAAGTGGAAAGCCATGTCCACTTCTGAAGGACTTTGTATCTGTACTCCTTGTTTCTTTCCTGTAACTAATTTTCTGTAATTATAATGTTTTTCTGTATAGATGATTCATGTTTGTTTTTTCTCCATCTCTTTGGTTAATTGTGCATGTAGAAATTTTCCCCAGGGAACCATCAGTGATATGGTGAAAGATGTTTCTCTAGGAATATCATTTGTCTGCAATAACATTGCTGAATATGGAGGTGACCCTAACAGGTGAGATACTGGTTCCCATTTCCTACAGCGTATCTCTCTTGGAGACTAGGTCAATTAATCTTCCTGCTTTGTTTGAGTAGGATTTATCTAATGGGGCAATCAGCTGGTGCACATATTTCTGCTTGTGCTCTCTTGGAGCAAGCAATCAAAGAATCTGGTGGAAAGGAGAGCATCACTTGGAGTGTTTCCCAGTTGAAAGCTTATTTTGGTTTATCTGGAGGGTATGCTTTTATGTTCTTCTCTACCGTAAATCGTGTAGAAGAATGGAAAAATGTTCTGCAGAAATCTGAGATTATACCCTTCTTGGCTTAATAAATTCCCTTTGCTATTCCAACTGAAAAGTATTGTATTCCTTCTGCCTGTTCAAAATATTCACCTCCTTGGCATTGAAAACTAAGAAACGAAAGTCATCATTGAATAGTTGTATCAGTGGTCCATCTGAATGACATTGAAGAAATTATTTTCTGAATTATTTTGATTTTTTTCAATAAAATGAGGTATTGTTGCTGATCAATATAAAAAAAGATATTTTGCTTCAGTTCTCCATAGTTTTTTCTCTTTTGTGGAAAAAACTGCTTCTATTTTTCACATGCTTTCTAAATTTCGTAGAAATTTATGGCGAGGATATGATCTTAGTTTTGCATTGAACTGTGGATTTTCCACATGTAATTTATAAACTCAGAGACTTACCACTGTGGTTTATTTCAGCATGAATTGATTGTTCCGTTGATATATGGAAGTACTTATGTGCATATGCATTTCTCTTCCAAATTCTGTTAATAGGTACAATTTATTCAATTTGGTTGATCATTTCCATAATCGAGGGCTATATCGATCCATATTTTTAAGGTAATCATCAAATGATATTCTTCTGGTCAATAATCATGTATGCTTCTATACTATCCTATCATTTCCTGATCTATTATCTATTTTCTAATATGTGAGTCCTATTCTAAATTGTCATTACAGCATAATGGAAGGGGAAGAATCATTTGAACAATTTTCTCCTGAAGTTAGAATAAAGGATCCAAGTAGTAGAGATGCTGCTTTACTTCTGCCTCCTATTATACTTTTTCATGGAACTTCAGATTATTCAATACCATCCGATGCCAGGTTAGACTATCCTCTGAATAAAATGCTCACTGCTTTGTCTGATAATGATATGCGTAATTCGTTTTATGCTTTACTTAGCACATTAATTCCTTTATCTGAGAGATAGTTTTGAAAGTGGCACATAACCCATCAACTACATACCATTTGCTTCAAAAAGGGTAACCCATTGTTTATTTCAGGTATATCTAAGTTAATTGATCATAGCTCAAGTGTAAGTGTTATGTGTCACTTTAGAAACCACCAGGTATCTCTTGTTTTCCATCCCCATCCAATGTAATTGTCTATTTTAATTACAATTTCACAAAGATAGTGGCATATTGATATGTCAAAATAGGTAAATAAAATTCTCTATACAACCTCCTAATCAACCTTCCTAATGGAAAAACTTCACTGCAAAGTTTCTCAGCCAGCATTATTTCCTGATTTTTGACCTGTAATGTGCAGCAAAAATTTTGTAGATGGTCTTAAACAGGTAGGAGCTGAAGCAGAGCTAATCTTGTACAAAGGAAAAACTCATACAGATTTGTTTTTACAAGTAAGTGATACTTACAGTTTGTCGTTAATCGATATTGGTTTCACCATGGACATAATTTTCTTCCTTCACTTTCTTACCTTAACTCTTCACCATGTTTCTGGACCGTTTTTCTTACCTTTCATATTTGAGACGAAGATTGGTCATTTGATCCATCTAGTTCTTGAGTGTTGGTTTAAGCAACCGTTTTTTATTTCTTTCATCAGATTCAGGTTTATCTTTTAGCATTTTCTACTGTTCTCAAACTTTGCAGAAAATTGACTACTTTTAATTTGGTCATATATTGTTTTTACTTTTTCATGTTTATTTGTATGGCACTGAAAATGATTCCTGCTTCCAAACTCCCGATAATCAAATTAGATTTAAACCATTAAAATTTTAATTCCATGAAATCAAGAAGCGTTTCTACCTGTGCATAAGTATTTCATTTCTCCTTTTCAGGATCCTTTAAGAGGTGGAAAGGATGACCTCTTTGACCATCTGCTTGCCGTGATACATGCTGGTGATAAGGAAGCTCTTGCAAAGGACGCAATGGCACCTCCAAGAAAACGCCTCGTGCCTGAGGTTCTGTTAAGATTGGCTCGTCATATCAGCCCCTTCTAGGCCCATTCAGGTTATAGTGTCCGTATTATGTTGTATAGATGATGATGGTACAACATGCGGGTGGGGAAGGATGAGCTCGTGGGTGAACCTCACCAGCAATATGATGATGATGATAATTAGTATTCAATTTCGATTTAGACAGGAAGTCTCTAGTAAATAATTCAATTCAAATTCCTTAGTCCTATAATCTGTTCAATAGGATATTACACTCCATGCCAGGGAAGTAAAAAAAAAGAGACATTAGTTTGAAACTTTTCATCTTCTTTGTACATTTCAACACGGAAACCAAACCATACAACTGGGTTCTGGGTGATATTCCCCTTCTCCAGTCTCCTACTTATCGGTTTCAAGATTCAAACTTGTTATTCTAACTTCGAGTTGGAACATGCTATTCCCATTTAAATTTGACTTTATGTGTATGTCTAAAATCACACCTCAGTGCCAAAGTCCCATTCATTCTCCTCAGAAAGAAACTCTCCACCAAAATATAACAAGCAAATTTTCTCCACCTATTCTCACTTCTTATTTCTTCTCTTCTTTGAACCTTCACTTCCCTCTCTCCTCCGCGGACCCAACCTCCTTCCTCTTGTATCCATCTCATTTTCTCTACAATGGCCACACTCAGACCCACACTCACCATTTTGCGCCCACCGCTGTTCTGGTCCCGAGCTCTGAACCACCAGAACCCTTCTTTGCTGACCTTGTCATCCTTCAAAGCATGCATGCCCGAGATTAAGTTAACTTCTCTCTGAACGTCTGTGCTTATGTTTATGATGCTCTGATCTTCATCTTCAACATTCTCGCATGAATAAATTTGCTGCCACCATTGCTCCAGAGTCATCTTATAAAAAATCGATTTCCTCATTTGGTGACGGAGCCGGGGTTCCTCCCTGACAAATATGCAGGGACAGTACCATTGACCGACCAGGACAGATGCGGAGCGCCGGTTATAGATGGGGAAGTTGAAATCTGGGAGGCGAGCTCGGAGAGATGCGTCTAGGCCTACTGCGTCGCTAAGTCGAAACTGGTACATCCTTGAGATGCGAAGCTCCCACCCTTTTTTCCTCAGGAACTTTGGAGGAATCCCGTCTATAGCAAGGGAGCTGGCGAAGAAACTGTGTCTGAGATGGCGGTGGACCTTGAATTGTTGGTATATGTTCCTATGATCGAAAGGTTTTGGTTTTTTGTCCTTTATGACGTTTTCGAAGCAACATAGCCCCATGTCCGTCTCCCTTGAACTAGCACATGCTTTCCTGAAAGTTTAGAACTTTTTGAGAACGCAGCAGCAAAAACGCACACTCAAAGTGTTTGATGAAAAGTCTACAAGAGAGTTTACCCTTTGTATCTGCCCTTTGCTCGAATGACATAGTAGCGATTGGAAGACAGAGGCTGATCAAGAACTGGTATGAACCAGACCTTTGTGACCATGGTCCCTTCTATCTCTGAAAAATGAACGATATTTAGTATTCTGTCTTGAGGAAATGGCCGCCTTTCAACAGCCTTCCTCTTACATGCCCCAAAACAGAAAGTGTCCTGTGCTTCTGCTTCTTCATCGGTGATCACTAAATAACCTGAATATGGACCCGCCGGTGGCTCTTCTTCAAGAGCGGTGGGAGAGTTCCGGTACAAGGACAGAGGCCTTGTTACATACATCATTACACTTCCCTCTATGCTTGTGTTTTGGGGATTAGAGGATGAATATTACTTGGTTATATTTCCTTGTGGACTAAGATTTAAGGGAGAAAAATTGGAATAAAGAAAAAAAGGCTCCTCATTTCCAATAATTTATGACAGTGGAAACAAAATATGGAAGAAGAAAGTCAAGGCAAAAGCATAAAAATAACCCCTTACCTTAATAAGTTGGACGATTTTAGTCCCTCACCTTATAATATAACGATTTTAGCCCATAATCTATAAGAATGAAAGAAAATAGCCCTTATTTGTAATTTTCGTTATACATCTATTACCATCCGTCACTTCCATCACTCCGTCCGTTATATTTTCATTAACTTTGTCCTGCTTATATAATAAATAAAAAAATGGGAAAGCTTCTCCAAGAAGCCTGCTGCATTTTTTTTGGGAATTCAAACTTTTTTTTTTCGAGAATTCTAACATTTTTTTGAGATTAAGGTATAAACAACAAATTAAAAACAAGCAAATTAAAAAACGTTAGTCTCAAAAAAATGTTAGAATTCTCAAAAAAAAAAAAATTTTGAATTCCCAAAAATAAATGCAGCAGGCTTCTTGGGGAAACTTTCTCATTTTTTTATTTATTATATAAGCAGGACAAAGTTAACGAAAATATAACGGATGGAGTGACGGAAGTGAAAGACAGTAACAGACGTATGACGGAAGATGTATGACGGAAGTTATAAGGGCTATTTTCTTTCATTCTTATAGGTTATGGGCTAAAATCGTTATATTATAAGATAAAGGGTTAAAACTGTCTAACTTATCAAGGTAAGAGGCTATTTTTAGGCTTTTGCCGAAAGTGAAAGTTTAGCAAGTGACAAACAGAGGATTAACAGAGAAAAAGATACATAAAGCAATACAAGAGAAGACGAGGCTACTTTGCTTTCGGCAAAACCATATGTTAAGCCCCTGAACGAACCCCAGAATCGCTATTAAGCCCCTAAACTTTAATTGATGCAGTTAAGCCCTTGAACTCTGGGATCGAAGCAATTAAGCCCTTCTTCTTACGCCACTTAACTGCCGTTTGGGGTTGCTCGCCTGACTTAACTGCCGTTGAGCACGCACCCCGCTTGGCTGCTTCGATGGCAAAATATTGCCATGTCATGCTTACATGGCAAGGGATTTAACATTTGACTTGGATTTTTGATTTATTTGATAATTTAATTTTTTTTATTTAAATAAAATCATAAATTTGGGTGAAAATATTATTTATATAAAATCTTAAATTTAAATT